AATTCTTCTTCGGCTTCTTGCTTCCCGTTCAACTTTGATCTTTAAAAATATAAATGCAATGTCAGTTGTTATCTTTATCTTTTAAATTTTCGTTCTTTTATTGTTTTCTTTCCTTAATAGTGTTTATTTTCTCATAATCTCTAATAATATGAAGTAACCCTCTTGCGTTTTATTGGCTTTATTGCCTTGCTTGGGGTGAAATGATTAAAAGCATATTTACAGGAAGAAAAATGATTTAAGCGAGACGAAACATAATTCACGTTTCACTTTTTACTTTAACTGTTTCATTACAAAAATTAGATTTTAAGTATGTTGTAGCATACCCACAGACGATACTGGGTATGTCCTCATTCACATAAATACGGTAGTAAATACTGTATGTTGGTCTGCAGTTGGAGATTCATTGTGGAATTCACTTGACCCACTTCTAGTAATTGCTACTTCTTCTACGCGCCGCTGACGAATCTTATATATGTTGTTCATGTCCTAAGTATTATCGTTCATTACCAACTTTCGTATGATTATTATATTCAGTAACCTTCCCTAAGTTACAAAAATCTACTTTCACCTCATCTTTCATCATGGTTTACGCGCCCCGTCCACTCACATATAGACTGCATTATTATTGTCCAAAGAAAAAAACCCTATGCATATAACACATTTTAAACAATCTATGTATTAAAAAGTAGTTCTATTTATAGAGTCAAGTCGGAAAATCTTTTATAAATAGACAATGGGAGCATAGGAATCAACATCACCTCGAGGCGGGAAACTGTCAGTCACCATAGAGTGTTGATTCATGTGCATGTGGCCGATTGTTACAGCCTTCACTTTTCGTTCAGGAGACCCGGGTTCGAACCTCACGAGGGTCGATTTGTCAGCAAGGGGATTTCTTGATGTTATTGGTCTAGGGTGGCGGTCACTGTTTTCGGTGCCTTTGAAAAGACCGTCACAGATGAAGAGGAGGCTTGAGGCAATAGATTTGACTGATAATGCCATAGACGGAACATATGAGAAATGAAGAAGTTTTTAAGAACAATGAAAATAAAAGGGACATATACTCGCAGTCAAAAAGAGACAAATTAAATTCTTTGACACACAATGAGGAAAGAAGGTGTTGGGAATTAGACACTCACGGGACATATTGAGATAGAGAGAAACGGTGCGTAGCCTACCTAACGACTTTGTTTAAATTAATGTCAGAACACTGATTGGGAAGGGTGTTGAGGAGACAAACTGTCTAATGCTACGGATAATAGGAAGTTGAAGAGGACTTTAATCGCCTACGTCCTGAAGGGACACCATGAGTTGTTTTTTTAAGGAAAATAGAAGCAAAAAGTACACATATTTGGAATCAAAAAAGGACAGTTGAAATATATAGGATACATAATTAAGACAGTAGGGCTCGGAGAATTTAACACTCACAGGACATAATGAAACAAGAGGGACAGAGGAAAAGGTTGAGAGACTGCAGGGGTTAGTCAGAGGACAAACCTTGTTTAGAATTACAGAGGACAGTGTTATAGAATGTGAAGGCCACAGCCAGAATGGTCAGCGATTGGCTGGAGTGCCTCGTGGGTGTGGTATTCTTACAGTGATGGATTATCTTTGTCTGGATTAAGTGCAAAACGGCATGAATTCAACGAAGGGCCGCAAGAATTCTGAAGCGTCGATATGCTTCTCACACTTGGGTTAGCTACCGGTTAAGACTACCCGCGGAGGAACGCTGAGCCAACATGCGACATACGTTCCTTTAATGTCCTTCCTCCCTCAACCTCTAAGAATCCAAGCCGCCATTACTCTCTCCTAAATAAGACGAATAAAAAAACGAAATCGTCCTTTTTGTTGAGACCATTTTATGTAGTAGCGTGGGGATGCAGAGACGACACAGAATACAGCAATATGAAGTGGTGGAGAGCCGTGATCGAACATAAAAGGCGCATAAAAGAAATATCATGTTAATATAAGGTTATTGGTTCAAAATGGTGAACACTGCCCGTTCTATGAGTTTTGTAGTTTGTTTTGTATTACAATAAAAATGTATAAATTCTGCCTATCGTCTGGTTCGCACTCCTCCCTGGTCTTTTGAGCAGGTGTAGAGATTTATCCCTTTGTTTCCTATTTAGGATTGGGTTTCTGGTCACTTCCAAAGTCGTCTTCTATACTATACTTCTAACGTACCCGTTTGAACTCTAAGATTTTATTCACTAGTTAAATCTTGACCGCTTAAAATGTAGAATTAGCTGTTAACAAATAGGCCCCAAAACTTCACTTCTTGCTCTTTGTTAGTCCACACAGTAACAGAGTGACTCTCGGGTCTTTCATTGGATAAACATTAGTAAAAAACAAAAAAAAAAACAAACAAAAAACTTTTTTCACTGAACTTGTGACGTCATAAGAAACGCCATTGTTACGTCTGCTTGCCGGTATAGTGCATGCCAGTTGAGGAAAAGGAAAACAGATAACCAAATGCGTGTAGTCAGTAAATTATTTCGTGACTATAGTATGAAGCATTTTTGGCGTAGGGCTGGCGTTTTATTTTAATTTTCCTTTTTAAGCATGTGACAATTTTATTTTATTCTTCAATACTTCAACATTTTTTCCAGTCACGATAAATTTATATGAACGTTTTTACTTCCATTTTCTATCCAAGGCACACAATGAATCACGTGTACTTACAGTTGTAAACCAACAGTGGCATACCGATCATGAAGTGTGGAGTTCAGTTTAGTGTACCTAGTCCAGAGTTCACGTTACCATAAAGTCACCATGAAAAAAGAATACTTGAACTTCAAGCCCTAAACTATCTAAAGTACATATATATATATATATATATATATATATATATATATATATATATATATATATATATATAAAAATGTATGCGTGTGTGTGTGTTATATACCGTACGTATGAACACTAATGGGTATGTCCCAATCCTCATAAATACGTTGGACACTATTGTAAGTGGGGGGGGTAATATGCTGTCTAAGTAGTTCACCACTAGCAGTGGTTTACCTGCTTCATGTCGCTGGCGAGTATTGTATCTTGTTGATCTTATAAAGATTACCATTTCATTTCTAATCTCCGTTTTGATTATTCCTCATACAACAATACAATAATATTTTCTAGATTACAACAATATATATAAAATTATATATATATATATATATATATATATATATATATATATATATATATATATAAAAAAGGCTTAAACGTTTAAACGCTAATATTCCATGGTCATAATTTATTCCATTGGAATCGTAAATACGATCCAATTCATAGGTCTGATGAATTGGATCGTATTTACGTTTCAAATGGAATAAATTATGACCATGGAATATTGATGTTGAAGCCTTTTTATTATATCCTTACTCTGTCGTGGACATTGAGTTTTACCTGGATTCTATCCTCTTGTAATTATTTTTATACATATATATATATATATATATATATATATATATATATATATATATATATATATATGTGTGTGTGTGTGTGTGTGTGTGTGTGTGTATGTATGTATGTATATATATTTATGTAGTTTAGATATATGACTGCAAATGTATATGTATATTAACCACTAATATTATCTATCTATCTATCTATCTATCTATATATATATATATATATATATATATATATATATATATATATATATATATATATATTAAAAGAAATTAATAACACCTAGTCCCTTGAAAACGGCTAAAGAAGTTGCCGAAAGCGCTTTGGAACATGGACAATACGGACAATTTACATATAGAAGTGTTTAACATCTGTTTTAGTGAAATGGAAAACGTTGTCAATTTCAAATCTTTTCATTTGTATCCACTTCTTAAAATAACAATCCGTATTCATATTTATGATTGCTAATGCAATATTTTGTTAAAGTTGTTTAGCTCAAATATTTAACAATGGAATTTCTACGGATGTTTTATTGACCTAGAACTCACCATGAGTATCAGACAGACATACTCAGATACGATCGTCTAGCACCACCAACAACAACATTATTATTATTATTATTATTATTATTCATTCATTCATTCATTAGTTTCTTGATGGTCATTTCTCTACTTATTTACTTTTAATATCTGTCTATATCTCTGAGATGAGGTATTATGATTACTTACATTATTTACATTATTCGGACTCCTATCCTCATTTTCATTGTCATATTCACAACGTTTCGCACGTTGTACGCTCTGGCTTTCTTCAGATGATTGGATTTTTCATCCAGCGGAGTAGATTGTTCTAGCTCCGCATGCCATGTCTCTTCCGGATATCTTATATTGCTATTTTTCTGTTATTATTATTTCTTATATTGCAATTTTTTTGTTGTTATTCATTGCTTTTTTCTAGCACTCCTTATTACTGGTTCCCATATTGTATTTGTTTCTATGCTTGGTCGGCTCAGGAGATTTTTGTGGCCTAGCATATGTGCTGATTCCTTAAGTTTTCGTATTTTCCAGTGATGATCTCTGCCTATTATATCAACCTCATTCCACAGGCGGGGCGGGGATCTCCCTTTTCCCCTCCATATGTGGTCAGTTACGCCTGATTTTTTTTTTATTTCCCCTCGTGTTACCTTACCCGTTTCCCCTTTATAATCGTGGTAATAAATATAACTGTAAATAATTTAAATATTTGCTTTTTTTAAATTTCTTTTTTAAAATTTGGATCTGTGGGGGGTGCGAATAGAAATATAATTTAAACTGGAAAAATTTTAGAACTTTTTACGGCTTATCAACCTTTTGCAGGTTATTTAAAGCCAGAAAATATTTTTAGATTGTATTTTTCTTTTTAGATAATAACCATATACTGGATATAAGTCTTATTAATTAACCCATAGCTGGGGGCGCAAAGAAGTAGATTCATACTTTATCAAGGGTATTTGTGCATAATTGAATATAACGAACCAGACTGGAATTAGAACTCGGCTCTCTGATTTCTAAATCCGTGCCGTTATCCTTTACACCACCCGCACATTCAAGCTTACAGCACCCGGTATTCCCAAGCGGGCACCCTTCTAGGTATTGACCAGGCGCTACGTTGCTTAACTTTCAGTGGTCGTACGAGAACCGGTGTTTCAACGAGATATGGCGATAAGCTTGGGGAAATTCTAGTGAACAACAACAACAAAAATATCTTATTTCTTACTGTGCCTCTCGTCTGCCTGCCTGCATTTCCATATTCGCCACTTTACGTCGACAAATTCTCGTGACTCTCCAATGTCGAAACATGACGTCATAGCTTTCGCTCTCGGTACGACGTATCAAGAAGCACGTCTTCCAATGCATTTCTTCTGTTGCTAGTATTTCATCCTCATTTACACCTATTCATGCGTTCACGCCTCCACCCCGTTTTTTTTTTACTCCGCCGCCTCTTTTAACGTCTTCACTCTCTTTTGATATACCTTCCTCAACAGCGCTCGCCGTTTTTTTTTTTTTTTTTTTCTTACGTAATGCTGGCTCTGCTTTCATTAGCGACATAAAACATCTTTATGCTAAGCCTTTACCTGATGGGTGCCAGGTTGACAATGCCGATCACTGAAAGAGGTCAAAAACAAATACATTGAGCTGCGTCAAATGCGTAAAAAAAATGTTTGAAAACGTGGAGAGCAGGGTTTTTTGCGGGGGGGGGTTGTAATATCATAATCATTTCTGGACGTACGCAATCATGGCTCCCCATAGATTCCATTTAATTATTATTGCCGTATCCTTAAAGAGGTTACAAAGGTAAGTGAAGTTTTTTGAAAGTCAAGTGAAGGAACAGTAACACGCATATAGATGAAAGAAGAGAGGTTTATTGTAAAAGAGAATACACTACTGAAAGACAGGGAATCGGGTGGTAATCTAGTAATTCCCGAAGCAAGGATATTTACCTTACTCCCCCGCCGCGTGGTAGGATGTTGCACAAGGCCGTTTTATGCGGAGTCAAAACCGAGGCTCGGGCAAAAATTTCCCGTAGAGCCTGTAAAAAACAGGGTCGGGTAGCTGTCTATTGCCGAAGGGCAAAGTCTCATCTAGGGTGGTAGGCAGCTACCCGGCCCCGTTTTTACGGGGTCTACGGGGAATTTTTGACCGAGCCTACAGTCTTGGATACCCCAGAGGGCAGAGTCTCGTCTGGGTTCATCTCTGCCCAAAGACAGAGCGTTCGACTAGCTTAGCTGGAGACGAATCTCCAACTAATTGCCGAAGCAAGATTATTTACCTCAACCCAACCCCCACGCACCCCCCCATCCGTGAGATACGATGTGGCACAAGGCAGTTATTTAATGCGGGGTAAAACCGAGCCCGTGGACTCGGCAAAAATCCCCCGTAGACCCCGTACAAAGGTGGCCGGGTAGCTGTCTACCACCCCAGACTAGACTCTGCCCTTCGGCATAGACTCGTTTTGGGTTCCTCTCTGTCCGAAGGCAAAGAGTTCGACTAGCTGAGCTGGAGAAGAATCTCCAACTAATTGCCGAAGCAAGCCCCCAGATATATCCTATGCTCACTATATATAGCTACTGATATAGTCAGACTACATAGACAATAGGGAGTGTGGGACATTACATTACTCCCTGAACTAATTGTCCCATGAAATTTTGCTCAATAACTCTTGTTTTGGGGGTCAGGACATTGACTTTTTTCCTCTTTTTAGTACTTTTCTGTCTCACCAGCAAAAAAAAATTTATGTATTGTCATAACTACTTGGTAGGATTTAATAGTAGGCAGGTTCGCCAGTCGTCCGGTTCACACATCTCCTATGACTTTTGAATAAGGTTTTATCCCTTGTTCTCTGTTTAGGATTGGATTTCCGGTTCCTTATAAAGACTTTTCATTTCCTCCTCTTGCATGTTAATGGCACTATCACTTTGGGGTGAACTGATTAAAAAAAATTAGAAAATTCAACTGATATATTGTTTTTTTTTTCTGATGGTGGAGTGATTACTCCTTGGCATCACCGCGGGTTTTGATTCAGAGTTGTCTTTCCCCAAGACTAGCTGCCACTAAGGGCTCACTTTACCCTGCTATTTAACCCATAGCTGCGGTCCACAAGAGATGGATATATGACTTTTATAATGACATTTGTACAAAGTGAACGACACAGACTAACCTGGATTATGAACTCGGCTCGCTTATTCCACATTCCATGTTGATATGAGTTTAAAGGACATTAAGTTACGGTTTTTTTGGGTATATCGTATATAACTAGTGAGCGAGTCAGAATGACTTATTTCCCTTTATAGTCGACCAATAGAAGGTTGACCAATCAGAAGCCGCACAACACTGTATTCGTCGTGTATAAAGGCGGCCATCTTTGCTTCTCCTAGCGGAAGGACCAGAGGCAACTTGTCCGGCGAACATGACAGACGGAAGAACTACGCTCTGCTACGATATCCACTGCGAACCTGCACTACGCTTTCCTACTGTCTCCGAAATATTCACTGCCAACCTCTGGATTCTATACTCGAGGACGACCGTCATGAAAATGTCTAACAAGCTGCGGTCCACAAGAGATGGATACATGACTTTCATAATGGAATTTGTACAAAGTGAACGACACAGACTAACCTGGATTATGAACTCGGCTCGCTTATTCCACATTCCATGTTGATATGAGTTTAAAGGACATTAAGTTAACTTTGTTACATAATAAGTGTTCTACAAATCTATGTAAGCAGCAAGCCTACTATGACAAGCCTGCGATATTTTCTTTGTTAACTACTGCACCTGGGGATTACTGTCATAATACATGAATTTATACTTATTACTGGGAGCAGCTGAATAACACTGAAGTCAAAACCGAGTTGCGACAGTCTGTTTCATGCGTGAAAGCTATCTTCGGGCCATGTATTTTCTTTGGTGTTTCCAATATTTATTTATTTATGATCAATGGGGCAACGTTGGCGCCTACACAGTAATCGCTACGATAATACAATAAGCCATAACTACCTGACCTAGTTAGCCATAATACAACATTGCCCAGTATATATAAAGAGTCGAGCCACGAAACCACACACGTGGGCTGAATATTGCGTTGAAGCATGAAATAGACTGTCGCCGCTCGGTGTTGAACCCATTGTCCACTATTATATTTACATACGCTCTATCCCTGATATCGAGCACTTTAAACCATAAATATAGAATATCTTTTAGGATGTTGGACGGCTTGTCACTTTTGCTATGTCAAGCGAAAGCTTGTTATCACTTCCAAAAATTCACGAGACTTCGTAGACGCCGGTTCTAGCAGTAACGCCTTTCAATAATATCAGCACTAGTAATATTTGTTCAAGTAGTAATTGCCAAATAGTATAATGATCAGAAGAGAATCGTAATCTGTATAGTAGTAGAGTAGAAAGAGTGAACGTATAGCAATATTGGATAGACAATAAGAGTGAACAGTAATCGTATAGTCATCACGCTATTTTCTATTTATTCACTTCCATTATGATCACGTGATCTACTTAATAATGGAATCGCTCGCGTTACTCACTGGCGATCTAGTTTCAAACCACAGTGTCAGCAAGGGCACTTATTCTTATATAGCAATACCTTACAGCTATATTTTGTCATTTTATTATATATATATATATATATATATATATATATATATATATATATACAGTGTAACCCGGATATAAGAGAGTTGTCAGGACCGGAGAAGAAATCTCTTATATCCGGGTTTCTCTTATATCCGGGTTTCTCTTATATTCGGATTTGGTCTGATTTATATACATTAACACAGGCTCTAATTTGGGACCAGAGAAAATCTCTCTTATATCCGGGTTTGTCTTATATCCGGGTCTTATATATATATATATATATATATATATATAAAATTAAAAGATATGTGCAAAATGTCCTACAAGATATAGAAACGCTGAGTAACTTGATAATAATTTATCAACCTGTTCAAATTCTACATACCTTTCTTTAACAGTTATATATATATATATATATATATATATATATATATATATATATATATATATATATTAAATATGTGGTGCAGATCAATTTGTATTACAATTAATCATTCATACAAAAAGTAAATTAGTAAAGTTAATGATATAAAATGGCGAAAATTGCCATATTTGTAAAAAAACGCATTCGCTTAAATAAAAAAAAAATATTCAACCTTAGCGTTGCGACTGCACGCTTCAAAAGTTTGTATCCGTTATCAATAACACATTTAAAAAAAACATATTTCGATTAGCATTATATTTTATTTATTTTATCGTCTCGGATGCTACCTGTATTTTGCCAAAAACAAAATAATTTCCATGCCTGAAGATGACTGAGTATGCAGTCGAAAGTACTTGCGTATTTCATTAATACCTTATACAGCTTATAATTTAAAAGAACAAGGATCGTAACATTCATCGAGTGATTGGTAGGTTAATGCACCCATAAAATTTTGTTAGTGAAGGGAGTTCGCCATTTTATATCATTAACTTTACTAATTTAATTTTTGTATGAAATTATTCATTGTGATATATATATATATATATATATATATATATATATATATATATATATATATATAAGGATTTTATATTGAAGTGTGAATAAAAAAAAATACGTATAAAAAAATCCGGTTTGACTGTTTAAATGACGTCACCGTTATTGACTTAAAATTGATTTCAACAAACGTGAAAATACCCGAATTAACTAAAAGCAGTTACGTACACATACAGAAAACGCAATCCATGAAAACAAATATAGAAACATTCCAAAATACGCGGGAAAATAGAATAAAATAAGTATGAACTTTGGCAAATTAACCGATTATATAAAACAACTAATTTGGAAATATTAAATGTTAATAAAAGCTTCGATAAACCTAAACCTACCTCTCTCTCTCTCTCTCTCTCTTTCTCTCTCTCACTCATATATATATATATGTATGAGGATATATAATTTTGCATAATTTTATATAGCAACAAACAGTATTTAGGAAAATATGACAAACTGGAAAATTTCTTGTGACGCGTTTCATCCGATTAACTGCTTACGGATGAAAAGCGTCACAAGAACTTTCCAGTTTGTCATATTTATATATATATATATATATATATATATATATATATATATATATAAAGGTTATAAAAGTAT